CGGGGCTAGGACAGGACGGGGGCGGGGCTAGGGCGGGGCTCCTCCCGTCCTCTTTTTTGATTGTTGAAATGTGGTAACCCTAAGCACTACTAGTAACTGTTTTCATTTTAGAAGCATCTATCACTGTAGTAGCTGAATGTTCCAGTGGGATGAAATTTCTACAACTCAAATTTAGCTGACAATTTTGAAGCTAAATAAGCTACAGTACACTCCAGCTCATGCTTTCATGACTGTGTTGCTTCTGCAAAGCTAACTATAGTAAAATAAGCAAAGAGTTTTAAGAAGCTACACTTCTGAATGTGATTATAGCTCATTTGCATAATGTGTGCATCTGAGTTTTACCAAAATTTCACTGAAGCATCATGCACTTTTTCTTGATTTCCTTTCCCATAATTACTGACTTAGATAGTCATGGCAGTAATGATCCTTTCTAATTAGCCTGCTCTTCCTGTCTGATTGCTTTAGGGATGCCCAGTAATGGAAGTAAATAGTTCAGGAGTTGAAATCTCATCTCTGCTAACTTTTGTTTAAATCTCCATATTATTGATTGAAACTATGAACCCCAGCCTGGGAGAAAGGGAAGAGCTACTGAACACGCTTCTTCTTACCTCTCCCCTTTCAAGTTAGTAGGGCTTATGCAAAGTCATTACAGGCATAGAACCTAGGTCTCCAACATGACAAAACCCAGTCTTATTCACTGCCTTTGAGTGACTAAATCAGTTTTCATTATCCTATCTGTAACTGCTATACACCACACGCCTCGCAGAACCAATGATAGAATCCAGGATTCATGTGACCACTTTACCACCAATTTTGTACTTTTGAAAACTATGATTTGTAAACTATGACGTGAATTGCCAAAATATACATTTCACATTTCAGTAATTTATTACACATTTTGCTTGTGTCACCCATTGGTCAGTGTGTATGTTGACCTATGGATGCAAGTCTGTGACAACTCTGAGAGCCTGGCTTTTTAGCACAAGCATGCTTTTAGTTCTGGAGGTCATCTGTTCAATGCCTGGTTTTAGCCAAGATGGCAGCCATCACCCTTGCAGGTTCACAAAAATATGTGTCCAGGCTTAAAATTGGCACTTCAATGCAAAACCTTAACATTGACCTCAGTAGGGCTAAGGCAAAATAATTTCCCAGATGCATAGAATGTGTGATAGTCAGATGTTTTAATCTGTTGATATAAAAGCATATGAGGTCACTGTTAAGGCTTTGTGTTGAGTGCATATTTGATGAAGTAGGGGGTATATATTGCTTTTGGCTGTCAGTTGAAAAGTGGAAGTGAAAGCCTTAGGGAAACGGTTGTAGCAATATGAAGGTGGGAAAGAATGTGTACGTTTTTTCCATTTTTCTAAGCAGGAAGGATTGATTTAAATCAAAACTATTTAAATCAGCAGGTAGGAACCTTGGTTTAAATAATCTATTTTAATTGTGTTTTGCATTTTTACTTCAGTTATTTTCTTAAAGAAAGGTTTATTCTTATTGGCTGGTAACCATTAAAACAAGTTGATTTGGAACTAAATAGAGCCTTTTCACTAAATTTGTGCTGCTTTTTGCTAATCAGGTAGATTCACTATATCTGTGCACATTTATTTAAGCAGTTGCATTGCTTAACTTGCATTTATTCAGATTCTTAATGTTCACTTTTTTATTCTGTTGGAAAATGGTGAATGATATATTTCTTATTTACTTGATGATGATTAATTTTTTTACTTGTGATTTGTCTAAGCCTCTATTTGGGTGGATACTCAAATTCAATTAAAATGCACAAAAACAGGATTTAAAAAAAATTAAATAAAACTACCTTCAATGTGCTAGATCAGTGGTTTTCAAACTTTTTTTCTGGCGACCCAGCTGAAGAAGAGGGATAGGGTGTGGGGTGGGGCTGGGAATGAGGGGTTCAGGGTGTGGGAAGGGGTCCTGGGCTGGGGTAGGGGGTTAGGGTACGGGAGGGGTTTAGGGCTCTGGGCTGGGGCTGCAGGCTCTGGAGCAGGGCTTGGGGATGAAGGGTTTGGGGTGCAAGAAGGGGCTCCAGGTTTTGGGGGGCTCAGGGCTGGGGCAGGGAATTGGGGCACGGAGTTACCTCAGGCAGCTCCCAGACAGCAGAGCAGCGGGGGTGCTAAGGCAGGCTGCTGCCTGTCCTGGCACCGCGAACCGCGCTGTGTCCCGGAAGCGGCCAGCAGCAGGTCCAGCTCCTAGGCAGAGGTGCACAAGCGGCTCCACACGGCTCTCACCTGCAGGCGCTGCCCCTCCCCCCCACCCCCAGCTCCCATTGGCCAGTTCTCAGGGCAGGGGCAGTGCACAGAGCTCCATGCTGCCCCCCACCTAGGAACCGGAACTACTGCTGGCTGCTTCCAGGGTACAGCACAGTGTCAGAATAGGTAGGAACTAGCCTGCCCTAGCCGGGGAGCACTGCCAATGGGATTTTTAACAGCCCGGTCAGCAGTGCTGACCAGAGCCACCGCGACCCAGTGCCTTACGTTCCGCAACCCAGTACTGCGTCACCACCCACAGTTTGAAAACCACTGTGCTAGATGCATAGCTTTTTTCTTATCAGACATGTTTTGCATTTAAAACATACTGATTTATTAAAGAAGGGAAGTATTATCTGTAATTAATGAATTGAACTGATTGATTGTTTCTGGCCACTATGTCCTTCAAAATTTTAGAACTAGTAGACCTCATCCTCTTACACCTAGCTTTTATTCATAGATTGGAAGAGGATAGCAAGCTTTCCTTCTTTTTTAACTCCCAATTGGTTTCTCAACTTTAAATGAACTTGTCATTGAACTGAAGTAGGTGAATAAACTGAAATAGAGAAAATATTCTCTCTGCACTGCTGTCAAAAGCTAGTTTAGCACTTCAGCAAA